CAGTGGCCATGGACAGCAGAGATCTCCTGGAGGGAGGATGGGCTGTGGGAGAGATAAAGAAAAAACTGCCCCATGGACAGCAGAGAACTGCCCCATCAGATTGGAATAGAATGCACACCCCCACTTCCAACCTCAGACAGCTCTTCTGCCAGCAGTGCTCAGGAGTGGTCAAGGGTGGTTTCCTTCTGGGGATAAAAAAGCTGGAATAATGGTCAGTGGAATTATGGGGAGTTGTGGTTTCCCATTGGATTTATCCACATCACAGCGTGGTTTAGGGTCTTGAGATGTGGATGGCAGTGGTGGTAGAGCTTAGAAATTACTCCAGTTCTTGCCTTAGTCAGGCAGGATGAGACCTTCGAGGACCTGAAGGGCTCCAGGAGAGCTGCAGAGGGACTGGGGACAAGGATGGAGGGACAGGACACAGGGAATGGCTCCCACTGCCAGAGGGCAGCCATGGATGGGATCTTGGGAATGAGGAATTCCTGGCTGGGCTGGGATTGCCAGAGCAGCTGGGGCTGCCCCTGGATCCCTGCAATGTCCAAGGCCAAGTTGGACAGAGCTTGGATCACCCTGGCACAGTGGGAGGTGTCCCTGCCATGGCAGGGGGTAGAAGTGGATGGTCCTTTCCAACCCAAACCATTCCATAATTCCATGATAAAAGATGACCTCAAGCTGGCCACTGAGAGTCATAGGTTTCATCTTTAAAAATAAATTGCTGGTTGTGCCTTTTGCTCTCTGCTAAAGTAATTCAGATTCTTCATTTGAGCATTTGCATTATTTGAATTAATTCCGTTGAGATTTGGGTATTCAGGTCTCGTGGCCATTTAGGAATTTCAGGAGGTGAAATGGCAATAAGTTGCACCAGGTGAAATTTAGATTAAAAATTAGGAAAAATTTCTTCCCTGAAACATTGGGCAGGGCAGGGGTGGAGTCCCTGTCTCCATGGGGATTTAAAGCCCTGTGGATGTGGCACTCGGTTCATGGGTGGCCTTGGCAGGGCTGGGAATGGTTGGATTCCATCCTGGAAGCCTTTTCCAACCTAAACAATTCCGTGACCACATGGTTCCACACGCTGGGTTTGGTGAAAGTTTCCCAAAACAATTTTGTAAACTGCCAGGGAGTCACCAAATGCTCTGTCCTTGTCCCACTGGCATTTTGGGATGATCCAGCCCTAACATTCCCCACCCAAAGCACAGAAGATCAAGGCAGCACAATCCAACTGGCTGTGGATGTGTTTGGGTTTAAACCCTTCAAATACTTGATTTATCAGAGATTTCCTGGGTAAATATCAATAAATAACTTCTAAGGACATCCCAGTTATTCATCTGTAAAACAGCCCTCCTGGACAGGAAAACCAGGATCATGCCTCATCCCACGGGGATAAGTAATTCCATTAAAAACCACTACAAGATGCTGCAGGAATATGGGCTGGAATAGCTGCTCTACATCATCCCCTCCATGGCTATTGAGCCTGAAAAAGCCCTTGTGCTTCCTGACCAAGAAATTACTTCCCATTGCCTGAGTTTATTCAGGAAAAACTTCATCCGGTGAATGGGCTCATCATCATCATCATTATTATTATTATAATTAACAATAGCAGTGAGCAGAGGCTAAACTTTGCCTGAACACCCCCGTACATCAAGAACTGATCTCGTGCCATTGTCCAAAATATTCCTTTTTCACCCAAAACTTCCCTGCCTGGAGCCAGACAATGGATTTGATTTGTTTGGCTGGAACTTGACTGTCCTTCCTTCCTTCCTTCCTTCGCCATTCCTGGCTTTGGCACCTGCTGAGGGCTAATTAGGACAACGCTAATTTGGCCATCTCCTGATTGCAGCGAGAGGGGGGAGAAAAAAAAAAAACCAACAGGAAACGCTCTCGTTTTGCTGCTGGCAAAGGACTGAAATAGAAATCCGTGCCCATTCCCGGGAATGCAGGGGAGCGGAGCTTCCATCCGCGGGGATGTTGTGCCCTCTGCAGGGATCTGGGCTCCACACAGCCCTGCCCTTTGCTCCAGGCTTTGCCCAGAGCTGCTGGCATGGATAAATCCTGCCGTTGGCCAAGTTGGTGGAGTCGGGATTATTTTTACAGCTCCTTAAAATCAGGATGAACTCCTTGGAGATGGGAGTCGATCCCATCCGGCAAAGCCGGCGGAGCGAGGGCGGATCTTGGGGTGGCAAAGAGTGAGAATTTGGGAAGGCAGAGAGGTGTTTTTGTAGGGTTTGTTCCTTCAGGGGGAATGTGAGCATCTTTGGATGAAAAGCATCCAGAGGGAGGCTCCTCCAAGCGGGATTTGATCCGGAGTTTTCTGCGGGAACGGCTCGGGAAGGACGTCAGCACTGGGAAATGCACAGCTGAGATTGTTCATGTCCGAGCTCCCTTTTGGCTCGTGTTTTCCAGGGATTTTAAAAAAAGAAAAAAAATCAAACCTAAGGGGGCTGGATGGGATTGGACATTCCTATGAATAGCAGCTCTCGTGTGTTAATTGGTGACGAATTTTGGGAGTTCAGCGTAGGTGAGGTGCCTCCAGCAAATCGCATTTTTGCCCAAAATTCCCATTCCAGTTTGCCACCCAAACTGTTTACAAATGTCAGCTCTGATTTCTGACTAATTGATGAGAGGCTGGGGCTGAAAATGCAAATAAAACAGGGAGATGGAGCCCCCAAACCTCCTGCCGTGCTGGCAGCACTTCCCAGTCATGTCCAACCCCCGTCTCCAGCAGATTTCCAGGAGAGCAGCTCAGCTGCGGAGTTTAAAACCATTTTATGTTAAAAACCTGAGGATAAAACTGTTTTTGTGGGATTTTTGGAGATACTGAGAGGAGAAACCTGCCCAGTTCACAGCTGCTGCCCTTAACACGAGCCCTTCTTTTTAATCCTCTGCCAACACCTTTCTCTGACAAAATTTGCTGCCTCAAATGCAAAAAATTCATCTCTTTCCATGTTTTTCTACATAAATTTGCCAATCTTTACTCATGTCCACGTTGAAGTTGCACGTTTTTATTTCGCTGTCCACTCTAAGCTCTGTCTTCTGTGTCCACCCCCTTCTTCCCCATCTTCATCCTCATCTTGTTCATTTTTGAACCTCTCTGAAGGCTCTGAATCCCTCACCCAAACAAGTCCTTTTACTCTTAAAAAGAGATGGGCCTCACCAAAATGTGGTTCAGAGAGTTCAAAAAGTGATTAAATCCTCTGGAGGTGCTCAGCTCCCTCTTTGGAGGCAGCTTCTGGTGACCAACCTCCTTTGGTTGAACTCTCTCAGCTAAATTTGGGGGAAAAAAAAAGAGAAATAACTGGATCGCTCAAAATGGTGAAGAAAAGAAACCCCGCCTGCTTTCCAGCCAGGCAAAATAAATCCAAACCCCATTTTTATTGAGAAAGAGCAGATTAATTCAGCCAAAATGTGGCAGCCAAACAGGAATTTTTGATTCCCCAGGATATGCTTTTACTAATAATTCTGCTGAGTTTTAGTGGTATCTTCCCCTCCTTGCATGAACTTTTGGGGTTTAAATTGCCTTTTTTTGACTCTTTTTGGGGCAAAGGTGTCCCCTCAGGCTGTGGGTGCCTGGCCCAGCTGCTTTTTTAACCCGTGGCAGCACGAGCTCAGCATGGAAACATCACCTTGGCCGTGGGAAGAGGGAAAAAATCATCCAAAAATCCACCTGGCACAAGGCAGAGGAGCCAAATGAGCCCCTGTGGCTTCCAGATGTTTCCTGCTGGAAAGCCACAGCCCCCCCAGCTGTGCCCAGGGATATTCCCATCTTATTTCCCATAAGAGAAATGATTCCTCAGAGTGCAGGATTGGTACCTGGGAAGGTGTGGCACACACCAGGATTTTGGCCACGGCATCAGAAGGCTGGGAATGGGAAAGATTTTGGGAAAGACATATCCAGGACAGCTGTTCCAGTCTGATATTTCATATTTTAAGATGTCTGCTCCACAATAGAAGGTTTTTTCCCATCATTTTTCCTTCCTCTGACCTCTGAGGAGGGTGGAGCAGCTGGGTGGGCACCTGGATCCTGCCAAGGTCAGCTCCCTGTGGCAGCAGCAGGAAAAATAACAGAGGAGTTTGGGATTCGGGGAGTGGGGGTGAAAGGAAGAGTTTTGAGCTGTACTAAAAGATGTCACCCCGTCCTGGGATAATTCACTCAAGGACACAGATTGGATGGACACTGACTGGAGGTTCAGACGGGGAGCACTGGCTGAGAAGCTGGGAAGGAAATGTGGGAAAAAGGAGTTGGGAAAAGCCAGATGTCCATCAGAGGTCGGGGATGTTCCACCCTCTTCAGCATCTCCTTGATGAGGGGGTGGTTGGGGTGAAACCAGCATCAGTAAAAATCAGGAGGTGTTGGAGCCCTGGGAAAGGGTGGGGATGTAATTCCAAGGGATCCAGGCAGTGCTGGGGCTGTTCCATGGATTCTTTGGAGCTCGCTGGTTTCAGTGGATCCATGGATCTTGTCCAGAGAAGCCTCCCCTGGATCCCTGGAAGTGTCCAAGGCCGGGTTGGATGGGGCTGGAGCAGCCTGGGACAGTGAAAGGTGTCCCTGCCATGGCAGGGGTGGCACTGGATGGGATTTAAGGTTCCTTCCTGTGGGAATGCAGAGCTTCCCTCTGGCTGCCCTGGGACCCTGGCAGGGGTCAGGAACCCCCTGGACAGAGCCCCCAGAGACACTGTCTGTGATCTCTGCCCATGGAAAAGAGTTTTCAATCTTACAGGATCAATTACCAGCTCTGAGTGTTTGATATCAGTAATAATTAAGTGTGGCACGGGTGCAAAAGTAAAATTTTAGGATTCTAGATTGGGAGTCCAAAGGGGACAAGCTGGAGGAAATTGGGTGTGTCTTGCCCTTTTTCTCCTCCTTCATGCCCTCCATGTCTCACTGTGGTGTTGGCATTTTTCTGTTGGTTCAGGCTGGGGACACACTGTCCAACGTAGGTGACAGATATTGGCACGTTCTTGTAAATCCAGCCCAGGGAGTTTCTGGTATTGAATGTTTGTCACATCCCACTGAGGGCAGAGCCCCACACGCTGCCCTGCAGGACAGAGCTGGGCAGGGCAGCAGAACATGTTAGAGATAAACAGAATAAACAACCTGGGAACCAGCACAGACCAATTATGGCTTCTGCTTTGGCAGCAGAGCTAAAAAACAGAAACTTTCTACAATTTTGGAATCATCAACACCTCAGATTCTGACACCTTCCCACCCAAACCATTCCAGAATTCCATGGATCCCCACCAAAAGGTGAGGAGTGCAGGAATGGTGGATTAAGCTCTTGGAAAACTCCGACCCTGGCAAAGCAAAGGCAGCAGGTTGGGTTTGCAGCTTGTCAGAGCACCCCAACATCCTCCCCCGTCCCCTCCCCAGCACTGACTCCACGAACAATTGGGATTTTGAGGATAATAAGGATCACAAAGCAGAGAGGTGGCTCTGTGTGTGTCCACCAGGACACTCCCAACGATGCCTTGGAGTCGTGGGTGGCTGAAGGGCCACGATAAGGCTGGAAATAATTGAGGAGAGCAAACAGTGGATGTGGAGAGAGCTGAGCTGAGAGGGGAAATAACGGGGAGTAATGGGATGAAATGGAGGAAAATAAAACACGAGCTCGGTATCAGGAGTTTTTTTATCCACGAGCTGGATTTGTTCAAGTGTGAAATAGACTCCCAAGGGAAGGAGAGTATTACTGCAGTCTATTAAATGTGCAGAGGACAAAGCCCTGGCTGCTGTGTTCCCTGGAACAGTTGTCTTGCCTTGGCACAGCAATGCCCAGATATCATCAAATCCCCTTTTTCCATCCCAGATGTCAGAGCTGCTGGTGGAGCTCTTTCATCCCCCCTCAGTTTTCACCAGGGTGAAAAATAAAAGATTTTTTTAGAATTTTTTTAGAATTTTTTTTTTCCCTCGGAGTGGAAAAACACCGACTCCCTCCCAGCAGCAGAAGGCCGAAGGGGAGCGTTGACGCCGAGGTCTTGTGTGGCTGGAAACAAAGCTCAGCCTTTTGTGTGCGACAGATTGAACGTGAAACTCGGAAGGGAAGGGAAATTCGTTTGTAAGTGCATGTGACAAATTGGTTCTCACAGATCCTGCGTGGCTCCTGAGCTGAGCTTGTTTTCCTGGGGATGGGGACAGGGTGGGATGAGGAATGAGCTGTTCAGTTCAGGATGGATCCGAGCTGGCTCCCGGTCTCGGTGCCGTTGTTGCTGTTTTCCTTTGCAGATGCTCGGGGTGTTGTTTTTATTCCTGTTTATTCCCCAAATCAGCACCTCAGTGCTGCCAACGCCTCATCTCTGCCCCAGCATTCCAGCCTGGATCAGGGAGAGTGTGGCCGGAATGGCCCTGACAGGGCCCTGGCAGGGGGAGCTGGGCTGTGGGAGGGTCTCCGATGGCTCAGTCCACTCCAGCCTGGAGCCAGCTTGGAAGAGCTGGGAATGTTCCCCTGGAGAAGGGAAGGATCCAGGGAGAGCTTCCAGCACATTCCAGGCCCTGAAGGGGCTCCAGGAGAGCTGAAATTTGGGAAAAGCCTGGAGGGACAGGACCCAGGGAATGGCTCCCACTGCCAGAGGGCAGCCAGGGATGGGATCTTGGGAATGAGGAATTCCTGGCTGGGCTGGGATTGCCAGAGCAGCTGGGGCTGCCCCTGGATCCTGGAATGTCCAAGGAAAGGCTGGAGCAGCCTGAGACAGTGGGAGGTATCCCTGCCATGGCAGGAGGTGGAAATGAGAATCTTTAAGGTCCTGGATTGGCTCCTCCAAATGCAGCATCCCCTTTGTCTCCTGAAATTCCCAGTCAGGAATTCAGATCAGTTGCCCTGCCAAAAACACCAAACAGGAAAATTCTTCCCAATTGGAACCCGGTGCGGTCCCTGACTCAGTTTCTCTCACAGGATTTAGCTGGAATCTCCTTCAGGAGATGCTTTGGATGACTTGGAAAGAAGATCCTGGACCCTTCCTTCCCCTTCCTTGCTTCAGCCCTGGTCCCTGGGCTGGGCCAGCTGTGGGGGCAGCTGGTGGCTTCCATCCAGATGTTCTGGGCTTGTCCCACCTGGCAGTGACCCCACCATGGGCAGAGGCTGCTGAGCTCTGCCGACATTCCAGAGGAAAAACCATGGAGACACCAGTGCAGGGTGACCTCCTCCAGCTGGGTGCCAAGCTGAATTCTCAGGGTTGGAGGATTTAGGAAAATGGCTCTTTTTCCCTTAAAAGCTGTCTCAAAATCCATCAGGAGTTGTGTGTGTAAGGGAATTTCTTGCCTTGTCCACGTGCCTTGCTGTCCCCTCCATGTGTGGGATTCCTCTCTGCATCCTTTCCTCACTGCTCAATCCCCATTTGTGTGATATAAATAAGACAGAATGAGATGAAATGAGATGAAGTGAAAGGAAAAGTGGCCCTAAAAGCAGGATTGGCTCCTCGCTGAGGCGTTGCTGCTGCTTTCCCTGCAGGACCATCGTGCAGTCGGACGAGAAGCTGGTGATCAGCGCGTCCTGGGCCAAGGACGACGACATCAGCCGGCTCCTGAAATCCCTGCCCAACTGGAGCAGCATGGCCCAGCCCAAGCAGCTGAGGCCCAAGAGGGACGACGAGGAGGATTTCATAAGGTAAAACCACCGTGGCAAGGTGTGAAAGGGTTTCAGGGAGAGCAGCAGCAAAAAGCGGGGACAAATTTACCGTGGTTTCAGAGATGGCGTGTCCACAGGTGTGAGGAGAATCATGGAATCATTTGGGAATTGGGAAAGACTTCGGAGAGCATCGAGTCCAACCATTCCCAGCCCTGCCAAAGCCACCACTGACCAGGTCCCCAAGTGCCACATCCACAGGGTTTTAAATCCCTCCAGGGATGGGGACTCCACCCCTGCCCTGGGTGGCTTTTTGGGGGAAGAAATCTTCCCCATTTCTAACCACAGCCTCTCCTCTTTCTGCTCGCTCCGTTGTTCAGACCAAGCCATTTGGAGAGTTGTCTTTGTGATCCAAGTCAGGGAAGTGCCTGGGACTGGGGAAGGAAAGGATTGTTTGGAATCCAGGCAAATCCAGCCCTGCTGGTTGGTGCTGCTCTGGTCACCCACGGGATGAAGGGAGCAGCATTTTCTGACTTAAAGGAGATGCCAGCTGGTTGTACTGGGCAGGAATTCCCAAAATCAGTGCTGTCAAAGGAATCTTTCATTTGAGCCATTACCGTGGTGGAGTTTCCCCCTCCATCCCAACTCCAGGAACTAACCCAGGGGAGCAAATGAAAAATTCCAATATTTCCAGCAGGAATTCTTTTGGGGACAACTCTCTGTGCCCAAACCAGGTTGTTCCTGCCTTTCGTGGCAGTGAGAGCCTGGAAGGAGGCAAATTCCCTTCTCCTGCTTGCTGGGAATGGCTCAGCCCCTGTGAGGTTCCAAAGCCTGCACATCCCCATCCCTGTTCATCGCTCCCTTGATTGCCACTGGGCTGTAAAACTGGAGGAGGAGAAGCTGTTGAAAATAACAAAGTCTAATTCGCCCAGATTGTTGTTTTCCTCCTTCCCTGCCTGGAATCCCCGTGCCAGGGAGGATGCAGCCTGGAGAGGACGGGATCTGTGGGGTCACAGACGGGATTTAAAACGTCCCCAGCGGAGCAGGGGGAGGCTGCAGAGCCCTCGAGGTCTCTGTGCAGTCCCCGAGTTGAATTCCACGGGTTCGTGAATTCTGCTTTCCCGTTGATCCTTCATTCCCTCACCTGGGAAGCCTCTCCTGCCTCTCCCTGGGATTCCTGATCCATCAGTGTGGGATAGCAAAGCTCCACTGGGCTCTGCTGGCCGAGTAGAAATTCCTGGCCAGGCAAAAACGACGGCCTGATGCTGAAAGAACCAACCTTTTCATCCTAATATGCATTTTATTCCATTTATTCCATTCTCCTGGCCATTCACTGAAGCATTTTGTGGATCAGAGGAGCTCCAATGGCAAGCCTTTAGGAAAAGCCTGTGAACTCATCCACGCTGAATTTCCTGGGAAAAGCTCCTGTGCCGTGGCTTTTTTTTTTTTTCCAGCCCAGGATTGAGCACAAAGATCTTTCCTCAGCATCTTGTTTGCACAGAGCATCATCTGCCAAGCCCCAGTTCCTCCCAGCGCCCTGCGAACACTCCCGTGGCATTAATTGAAATCCTCCTAATTGGTCTGGGCCAGATTTAGCTTGGAAACTTCCTCCAGGACGAGTGGTGGTTGAACAGATCCCTCCTGAAAGCTTCAAAATCAAATTAATTGCTTTTTTGTCATCCCCTCCCCATTGAAGGAGCCTTTGCTGCTAAATCAAAGGAGCGTGATTTGATTTCTTCACTGCTGCTGCTTTCTCTTGGCACTGCTGATAAATTGGGAATAATTCTGCCTGGACACTGCCGTGGACCAAAGGGAAGCAGGTCCCGTGGAATCCTTGGGCAGCAGAGGATGGGAGAGCTCATCTCATGATCATTTAACTCCAAGATATTTAAAATTTCAGTGTTTGCTGCTCATGGGCCTTAATTCGTGGCTAGCTGGGCAGGGCCACCACATCCCTTCCTGGAAAAGAAGGTTCAAGCCTGATAAAGAAGGTTCAAGCCTGATAAAATTTGGGAAAATGTTCATTTTTTTTTTTTTTTGGGATGTGGAACTACTCAGCAGCATCCCTTTGTGAATATTGATAAATCAAACAAATCCAAAGTTCAGCAGCAGTTTTTGTCCCGTGGCAGCAAAAAGAGATCCACGGCCAGCTTTGCTTCCCTCCCTGACCTCCCTGCAACTCATTTGTTTAATTAAAAAGAATAAAAAAAAATTTAAAAAAAAAAAATCTTCTCTGCCTGTGGACAGAGATTGGTTTTGTTGTCTTAACCCCTCGCTGCCTCAGAGCTTGGTTTTGGTTTATTATTTAAGATTTTTTTGGTTTTAAAGTTTTCTAATGAATGTGCTGATGAGGGGGGTGGGCTTTAGTGCTGGTTAATTATTAGTGCTGGTTAATTATTAGTGCTGGTTAATTATTAGTGCTGGTTAATTATTAGTGTTGGTTAATTATTAGCATACTTATTTCATGTTGTGAGGTAGGATTAGGAGAAAGGTAAAGTTTGGAACATTGAAAAGGGTATAAAGAAAATTGTATTAAAAGTAAGAATCAAAAGAAATTCCATTTCTTCCCATTCCAAACCACAACAGTGAGGGGAGGAAGGCAAAGGCCAGCCTCTGCTGTGGAATTACTAATATTGTTAAAAAAATTAAAAATCAGTGTTAAAAAATATTAGTCATAATACCAATATCATTAACTTTCATATCTTGATCCCATTTAACAACACAAAGTATTTTTTAACAATATTTGTAATATTGCTAAAAATATTGTTTAAAATATTTTAACAATATTACTAATACAGTTAAAAATTTAAATCAGCTTTTAAAAATATTACTAATAATACCAATATCATTAAATTTCATATCTTTATACCATTAACAACACATAATATTTTTTAACAAAATTACTAATATTGTTTAAAATATGGTTTAAAATATTTTAAAACAATATTACTAATATTGTTAAAAAAATTAAAAATCAGTTTTAAAAATATTAGTAGTAATACCATGTATCATTAACTTTCATATCTTGTTACCATTTACCAACACAAAATATTTTTAACAAAATTACTAATATTGTTTAAAATATGGTTTAAAATATTTTTAAATAATATTACTAATATTGTTAAAAATTTTAAAAATCAGTTCTTAAAATATTAGTAGTAATACCAATATCATTAACTTTCATATCTTTATACCATTTAACAACACATAATATTTTTTAACAAAATTACTAATATTGTTTAAAATATGGTTTAAAATATTTTAAAACAATATTACTAATATTGTTTAAAAACTTAAAAATCCGTTTTAAAAATATTAGTAATAATACCATATATCATTAACTTTTATATCTTGATACCATTTAAAATATTTTTTTAAAAATTACTAA